TTCTTCCCACTGCATTTGGGAAGTGCCAAGGCCAGGTCCATGTCCCTGTTCTGCCCGTGCCCCATCCCAGAACACCTTGGACCTGCTCTCCATTCCCTTGGGAATTTTGAGCTCCCTGCTCTCCTCTGTTTTCTGCATGCCAAAAAAAAGGGGTTGTAGGATCAAGGAGGAACCTAAACCAGCTCATCCCAGGAGCCCCAAAGGGTTGTGCCACCAACGCCCCTGGCATTGTGTTTATTCCGTGGGAAGAGGAAAGTTTGGAGCAGCCTGACCCCAAACCAACCCTCCCTGCACACAGCTGCAGACTCTGCCTCCTTCCTACGGAGCTTCCAGGGAGCAGGGAAGCATTCCCAGGGAATCAGGCAGGGCTCAGGGGAGGCTGTGACACTGTCAGGTAATCAGGGAGCTCGTGGGACACAGAAGGATTTGAGGAACTGATTCCCCTTTCCACGGCACAAGACACGAACCGAGCCAAGGATTTCCCGGAGAAGCCGCAGGACTCGGAGCCCTGATCCCCACCCTGCAGCACCAGGACACAACTTCCTCATGGAACAAGCTGCCACACGTTAAGGCTCTGGCTCTGGACACGGTTTTGCAGGATCCAAGCACTGGAGAACAGGAATATCCAAGCTGTCTCCTCCAAATTTTCCTCCGGAAAACCTTGAAAAGGCACCTTCTCCCGGTATTTTTCCTGCCAATCCCCACATTCCTCAGGGCTTAACTGTCCAGGAGACTTCCAGGAGAGGTTGAGGACGAAGAGGCACCGGAGCCAGAGGCTCCAGGATTGCAAACAGGGAACACCAAGCAGGTGGAAACTTGGAATAATCCGAGTTTCTGGGTTCCATAACATCCGTTTCCACGCATTAGACTTTGCTTCCTCCCAATTCCCAGATCCCTGCACGTGACCTCCCTTTATCAGGGAAGTGTTGGCACACGGGGTTATGTGGGAAGTGATAAGAAAGAGATAAAAAAGCCCTTTATCTGCCCATTCTTTGCCTCACAACCCTCAGGCACAGAAAGAGGTGCCAAAAAACGTGGATTTGTCACCCCCAGATCTGCTTTGGCCGCAGCCAACTGATAAGATGCTCCCAACAAGGACTTTCCCTGCTCTCCCTCTGTTCCAAACCCACATTGAGAGGGAGAAAACCTGATTTTTTGGCCTGTTTTAAACCCCTTTCCCAGCAATTCAAGCCCTTGATTTCTTGTTCTGCCTCCCCAGCCCAGCAGAGAAACTTCTCTCCTCTTTTCTGCAGCCACTTTTCCCAGTTTTAAAGCCTTTTGTCTCTTCTCAGGTAGCTCCAGACTAAACAGTTCTCATTCCTTAACTCTATCCTCGTAAATCCCAGGTCAAATTCTTCCAAACACCTCTGTTTTTCCACACCAGACTCCCAGTCTGGCCACTGCCTTCTCCTGTGATCCTGTTCCAGGGCTTCGCTTTTCATGGGAATGTTCATCTGCAGGAGGGACTTTTCCTTCCAGATGCACCAAAAACCCAAAGCAATAATCAGTGTTACCCCAACTGAGGTGACCAGGGCAAGGAAAAGGGCACAGGAATTGAGCTGGAAGGATGAGAGGAATTTCCGAAGTGGATGAGAGGAATTTCCAAAGTGGATGAGAGGTGAAAACCTGAGTGTGAAAAGCAGTTTTTCCTTGATGTTTGCAACTGGACTCCTGGAATTTGCCGGGGTTTAGACACCTAATTCAGGCTCTGAGCAGGGCCAAATGTTTTAAGGTCTGGCTGGAGCCAGATCCAAAGCTTTCTTCACTTCCAAAGGGTTCATTCCTCCTCTGTCACTGATGCTGCAACACAAGCCAGGCAGGAAAAGGTTGGAGCAATCCCTGAAAGACAAACTCCAGGAATTGCTTCTTGGTTTATCCAGTGACTGTGCAACTTTGTGTGAAGGTACCCGTGTCCTGGGCTCCCCCCTGCTGGCTTTTGCACTCCCTTTTTCCCTTAAAAATCCAGGATACTGATGGAAGAAAGGGCTATTTTTGAAAGCCTGAAGGGAACAGAGCACTGAATGTTCAGGGGATGATTTCAGAACCGGTTCAATCATTACTTTTTTCCAGTCAGGTCTAGGCCTTTCCACCTTCCCTTCACCATTCCCAAGCCCTGCCATCCCTCCCATCGGGGTGGGGAAGGTGAAAATCCCAAAAAACCAGCCCCCGACCTGGCAGGTTCCCGTCCCCTCCCGGCGCCCCGGGGACGCGCTGCCCTCGGCGCGGTGGCTTCGC